AGCCAGAGAGAAAAAAGGCAGTTCTCAGAGAGGGATGAGTGTAAGGTAGGGTTGGATGATGAAGCCAGTCACCTTGTATACTGCTGGGTCCTTGAAAGGCTTGACTGGAGGTATGAGTAGATGAGTAAACTGAGGCCACTTAATGGAGGGCCTTGGATGCCATTTTAGGGAATATGAATTTTATTCTAAAGCAGTAATAACAATTCCATTTATCTGGAGCTAACTGGAATGATATTGTGCTAAACTTTTTATAGACATTTCTTCTAAACCCCACCAAAATGTATGCATAAATATCATTAGTGCATTTTATGGATGAAGAATTTGAAGCCTCGAAGGCTTTTAAGTGAAGGGAGGGCTCTGGGGTTTGAAAGTAATTCTGGGAGCAGTAAATGGGAAGGATGGATGAGGTAGGTGACAGCACTTAGGGGCCTCCCCTCACTTCTGACATATTGTGACATGTGGTCCCCCAAACTGGTTAACAAGAGATGAAGAAGTGACTGCTATTTCTAAAAATGGACTGATGCTCTCAAAAGTTTTGAGTTGGGCAGGCTTTGAAGCATATGGTCATTTATGGAATGAGAACCTTTTCTTCCCCGTGGCTTTTCCCAGGGGACCCCATGAAAGCTTCCCCTCCAGGGAACACAGTGAAGAACACAGCAGTATCCTTGACCAGGGCAATGGGAATGAACCAAAATTAGCCTCTTTACAGAAGAGGTAACTGCAGCTTAGAGACACAGACTCGGGTCTTCAGCTCCATCTCAATGGTCTGTGTCTCTTAAACTGATGGCCTCTCGCTTTTGGAGGAGCTGGCGGGGCGGGGGGGGGGGTCCCTACCCTGGTGTTGGGGCAGGACTTTAAAGGTCATGAAGTTAAAAGTACTTAGTATCAGAGCCAGAAGGGCTGTAGAGACCGTTTCCAAACTCCTTATCTTACTAGTAAGAAAGCTGAGGCCGACAGAGGGGGCCAACCTGACTGCATTCCCAGGGCTGGATCCAGGAATCCCATTCATGATAAACTGACCAGGAGCAGAGTCTCTTCCGCACCCTCATGCCCACCCCTACCCACCCCTCACCCCGCCTGATCTCACAATGTCTCTTGAGTACAGCCCTCACCATCAAAGCAAAGAGGAAGGTGAAGTTCAGGACTTGGCTAATATCTGTTCCCAGCCTGTGCTTGTTTGATAAGATGGAAAGATCCCATTAATTGTGGAATCATGAAATAGCAGGTGGAAGGCAGCATGGAAATAATCTGGTATTTGTAGGTGAGAAAAGTGAGGCCCAGAAAGGCAAACTGAGCCCTCTGAGCAGAGACTTGAACCTATGTCTCCCCATCCCCAGTCACTGACCCCCCTGCATGACCTCAGCTGCATGGGGTGTCATGTGCTATTCACTCAGTTGTTAGAGACAGTCCGATTTAAAAATTTCCAGACCCAGGTACCTGACTCAGCCCTGGTTTTGCCTTGGCAGGGGAGATCGGGCATCAGCTGCCGGCTTGAATGATGTGTTCCCCAAGCAACATGGTGAGTGTGAGCTGCCAACACTGAAGTCTCAGGGAACGTTAAGTGTTGAGCCAGTTAAACATCCAAAAATGCCCTGTCTCTCAGAAACAAGGGTGACTCATCGGAGTGCTTGGGCTATGACTGGGAATGGCATTACAGTGGCCAGAGGAGCTAAAAACTCACACTCACAACCCTCCAGCTTCTCTGCCTCTGGCCTCCTGCTCTCAGCTCTCTTCTCCAACCTAGAGCCAAAACACGGCCACCAGGAAGCCCACGGAGAACCCAGCCCTCCTCTACCCTGAAGACTTGACGGTTCCAGCCTGGAGAAGCTTTCCCTTCTCAAGCCCTGTGAATCCATCTATTCTATATAACTGAGCACTTGATTTTATACTGTCTTTTACTCCTTCTTAATCATTTTGAGTGTTTGTTTTATAGCTGCATGGATGGCAAATGCTCGGAGGGGGAAGAAGTAGGCTTCCTTCTCCATACCCTATAGCACATCTTGGAGCATCACTGCAAGGCAGAGACATGCTCAGGCTCACAGCTACTCCCAGCTTCAAGACCCTTTCCACTCTACCTTGCATTTATACACACAGCAAATGGTCGTTAAATCCTCACCTGTTTCCCTGTGGCTTCAGCTTTTTCTCTGTCAGCCTATGTCAAGCCTCTGTGCAAATTAGGGAAAGGCACTCCTTCCTCCAGGCAGAGCCCCGCCAGGCTGCGTGGCTGGGCCAGTGGAGCACGGCTGGACTTTAGCCCCTCAGCTAGGTGTCCTGTGCAGTGAGCCCCCTGCACCCACCCCAGGGTCTGGTTCCTCAGGAGGGCAGCAACCAGATCTCACTCGCCCAGGCCCTCCCCTGCTCTGCATTCTGACAGGGACGGCCTTTCTTGGGAAAGCTGGCATCAGAGGCTTCCCAGCTTGTTTCCCAGCCCCTTCTCTGTCCAAACCAAACAACAACAGAAAATGTCCCCCTTTGAGAGCTCCTCAGTATTCATGGCCTGAAATCTACACTAAGGGCAGGGCACTTGGGGGCCCTCTACAATAGGATCCCAACGTTCCTTCCCTGTACCGAAGGCCCAGAACTCACCATGGAGTGTGCTCCTACCATGCCATCGGCCAAGAATGCCCTCATCCTGCTGATCTTTGTGTCAGATCCCCACCCCCCCTTTCAAACACAAACCTTACCACTTCCCTGATGTCTCAAATAACCATTCTCCTTGGTGCTTCTCCCTACCCCCAACCTTCCCTGCCCGCCACATTGCTCTGACCTCTGTTACAACCCTACCTCCACATTTCAGTAGCGTGCAACCCAGTGGCCAGCTGTCTTCCAGCCCTCTGTCTGCACAGGCTTCTCTGGGCTCATCCTGAATCAGCCCAGATGCTAGACTCAGCCCCACCCTGAGTTCCCCAGAGGAGCCCCCTTACAAACAAACTAGGGAACACTGTTGCCTTTACAAATGATTGTGTTATAGGAAGGGTGGAGAGCTGAGACTTCACAGCCGCACATCGCGCACCCGGCCCCTCCCCCCACGGCCACCCCGCCCTTCCCAGCAAACTATTTACGAATCTCTGCAAGCACTCCTGTTCTCTAAGTCTTTGGAGAGTTTTTCTCCTTAGTCCTCCTCAGTAAGCTTCAGATCAAGTCAAGCTTCCATACTCCATCTCTGCATTCCTCCCATCTGATGTATTCCCTTCCTGCTCCAACAGGGAGAACCCCCTACCTGCGAGCATGCACCCCCAAATCCATCAGGATGCTCAGCCCAAAGGAGGCTCCCCCTCCGTTTTGCCTTCTTTAGAAAGTCAAGAATAGAGCAAGAATATTTTTCTTACGACACGGACGTGAGTGTGTTTTCCTCCACCGATAATGCAGTTCAGAAGGCAAGGACCGTGTCTTTCACACCCATCCGACCTAGCACAGTGAGAATAGACACAATAAGCCTGCGACCAGCCTTCTCCTCTACCGGGGACAGGGACAGGTCTAAGCTCCTTCTGTCTTTCTTTCGCTTCTTCTTTCTCCCAAGGAAAGCCCAGGACTAGAGTCAAGGGAAAGTGTCTGAAGACACAGTAGGAGCGTAACAGATGGTTGTGAAATGAATGAGTCAGTGCGTGAAAGGGAAACAAGATAAAAGAGAAACTTCAAGAGCACCCTCACTCGGGTGATAGCAGGCTAGCTAAAGGGAGCACGGAGAGCCAACCAGCATCATAGAATGAAATGTGAATGGTGAGTGATAGGGTGAAGTGTGAACACAGGGTTCTGGTGTCGGCTCTGCCTTCACTGCCGTGTGGAAGCTCGGGGAAATCTCTGAACCTTGGTTCATCTGTCCCATCAGCCTGCGTGCAGATGGTCTACAATGGACACTGATCATCAGGGTCCTCAGAGCTGTCTGACATTCATGTTTGAGTCTCCTACCCCGGACGCCCAGACACCCAAGGCCCCTTGGCGCCTCTGCATCTGCAGAAAGCTTTTCTTGGCTGCAGTCCTGACCCGGGGACCTTCACTGCCTGCTGGCGGGAAAGAATTCTCAGCTGTGGAAAATGGTAAACTCTACATATTTTACAAATGAAGAGTCCAAACTCCCGAAGACTCTGAATGTGGTGTGAAATGGACCGAAGCCATCCTGCTGGTGCGACATGCCTGAGATAGTGTCACTACCCACCACCACCAACCCATGCGGACAGGCACGTCATGGAAAAAGAAGGAATAAGTCAGGGTGCCCCGGCCAGTGTTGGCCTGCCTCTGTTACCCCTGTGCGCCAGCCCCTTTTCTGTGCTTTTCTACATTTTTAAAAGAAGGAGTCTGTTTGCTCTGCGGGGGGGTGGGGTGGGGTGAGGCGACAGTCCACTGTCCCCTAAAAGCAAAGGAGAGAGGAATTAACAGCCCTCGGTCCCGAGGCTTGATCCGGCCAGCACCTGCGGGCTGCGGCGGTCCCCACCTTACCTGCGGAGGGGGAAATCTTTTCAGATTGAAGAGTCACGCATCTCCTGCCACCAGGGCCAGAGCTGTCAGAAAATGTGCCCTGCGCGGGGGCAGCGATTTGGGGGTTAGAGACAATGGAGTTCCCAGGAAACGGAGAGAACTTGTTGATTTTTAATTTGCATTTTTTTCCCTGTGCTTTGGTGGGGATAGGAAGGCGGCCTCGACTTGGGTGCACAAGTGGACATGCCCAGGGGGTATTCGATATGCCGGACCGTCGCGCTCCGTCCCCCTGCGGGGCGCACCACGGCCACATCCTCCCCGAACCCCTAAGCCGCACGGAGCCTCTGACTCCTCCCCGGGCCCGCAGCCCGTCAGGGAGAAGCGGCCGCGGGGGCGCTCCAGCCGATCCGCAGTCACGCGTGTGCGGGGCGCGTGCGCGCGCGGGGGTGCGGGGCGGGCCCTGCGCCCGGGGGCAGGGCTCCGCGGGGGAGCGGCGGGCGGCGGGCGGCGGGCGGCGAGGGGCGGGGCGCCGCAGTGCCGTAGTAGCGGGCGGCCGGGGCGCGCCGCTCCGGAGCCGCGGCTACGCGGGCAGGCGCAGGACCCCGGCGCTGCCGGACCCGGCGGGGTCCCCGAGCTCCGCGGCGCCCGCTCCGGCTGCCCCCCTCCTGGAGAGGGCTGCCCCGGCGGGAGGGCGCGCAGACCACAGCCTCGGTGCCCCTCTGTGTCTCGGTTCCTCTTTCCTCCCCAAGTAAGGGAATAAGCCCCGAGGAAGGAGCGCCCCGGGGAACCGCGCAACCAAGTGTTGCTTGGCGAGGTAAGACGGCCGGCGGCGCGGCGGAGGGGGCGCGGGCGGGAGGGGAACCGCGGGCGAGGCCGCTGCGCCCACCCTGCTGGGGCCACCTGCCGCAAAGCCCCGGGGGACGGGATGCCCCGTTGGCAGGCTGAGGGCGCGGGAGCCGCACGGGGGGCGGGGGCATCGGCTCCCTCTTCGACTGGGAAGCTCTTCCACACCCCAGAGGTGTGCGGGCGGGAGGCAGCCGGGTTCGGGGCGCTTGGCGCCAGCCACTGGCCCGATTCTCCCCTTCTGGACGTACCTGGCTTCCTTGGTGGCCGGCTCGCGCGCCAGGGTGCCCAGGGGCGGCGAAGAGCGGGGACGCTTCCCCTAACATCTGGCCGTCCCACGGGTTCCAGGACTTCGGGACAGTCCGCAGAGCCGCTGGGCTGGGGCGCTCGAAGGGACGCCGGAGAGAACAAGACGCCTTGACGGACACCAGCGAGGCAGGGCCGGGAGAGTATACATAGCCGACCTGTTTAGTGACCCGACACACAGCATGTGCATGTGCGTGTGTGTGTGCGTGCGCCTCGCAGGGCGCGCAGCGAGTATCACCTGTGGGGCGTCCCCAAACTCCACCAGTCCACCTGACCCTGCACATGCCGACGTTTTCTTCCTCCGGGTGGGTGGACTAGGATTTTCGGAGGGGGGCCGCGGAGTTCCGGAAAGCCCTACAGGTGACTGATGCGCCGCCCCCACCCTCGCCATCACTGCAGTGGAAAGCCGGGGACGGGAGCGAGGAGGCGGCTCCAGATGTGAGCGATCCAGCTGCGGAGCTCTGAGTGCCCCCTGCCCACCCCCCCCCCGCGCCCCGGGGCCGAGGGGCTGCGGCAGCGCGCGGTGGTCCCGGGGCTGCGCCGCAGTGGCGCGGGAGAGCGGAGAACCCGCCGCCCAGGCCCGCTCCTCTGGCTTCATTAGCATACGATGACCTCGCTGTCCCGGGAGGGCCCGGTGGCACCGTTTGTCATTCTTTGATTTCCGGGGGGGGGGAGGCGGTACCCGCTTTGGGTCTGGAGGTGTGGACCGGGGCGCGGCGGGGGGCTACTCACTGATGAGGGCAGTGGTCAGGACTCAGGGCTGGGAACTGGCCCTCAGGTTGGGGGAGGGGGGCGGGGAGGATGAACCCATGATTTCGGTGCTTTGTGTAAAATACAGCCCCGAGAACCACTTGCTGGAGCACAGGGCACCCTCATCGACAGTGAAGGACGTTAGCTCGCGAGGGTAGTTGTCATCACAGTTTGGTCACGTACACTCGCACACACCCTTACCTTATGATTCTCTGATTCCAGCGATGTGTCCTAATTAACGTGGGAAGGGACTTCGTCGTGTTAAGAAGGGCTGTATTGGCCAGAGATTCCGTTCTGAATATAAATTATGCTCATTAAATAAAGCAGGTGCAACTAAGCCAACATCCCTGTCTTACCCCGGTCCAAGTCTTCTCTTTAAGTCACCCTTACTGTTTCCGGGTAGCACTGTAGGCATTATCGCAGGTATTCTTCTTGGAGGGGTCCGGGCATGGGGTGCAAATAGATGAGTCTTTCTCATCTTACAATTTTAGTTCAGTGTTTGATTCAGATCAATCAAGACATGGGATGAAAATGATAAATATCAGAGCATTTGCAGAGACTTGCAGAGATAGGAGAAACTACCAAGGACACCAGTTGGGACTCCCCCTACAGCTTTCCACAGAGCGCTTTCAACAAGTGGCACCCGGAGGTCCCAGCTGTGCACACTGAAGCAGTAGCTCTTCCTTTTCCTGCTGTTCCCTGGGGAAGAGGCTGCCCCCAGCTCCTGCTTTGGAAGGGAAGGGAGAAGAGAGGAGTACAGGTTTGTTGTGGTAAAATTCTTTAAAAAAAAATCTTATTGTATTACATCATTGCATATACCTTTTTAGTGTGAACGTAATTGGTGTTGAGTGGCAAATATTTGGGAAGTTGGAAAGTGTACAGAGAATCAAACTACCCACAATTCCATCACCCAGTTTCCATACTGTTACTATAGTGGCATATTTCTTTTCTATCCATTTTTTATGCCTTGAAATCATATAATCTATAGGAAGCCTACATTGATTATCTACTAAATATACATTTTAGATGATAAATATTTTATATTCATTGTGTCATTTAATCCTCAGAAAACTCTCTGAGACAGGTATTATAATCAACCCCACAGAATTCAGGTGACTTGCCAACGCCACAGAGCTAGTAAGTGGCAGACCCAGGATTTAAACCCAAGCTGTCTGAGTCCAGAGTGGTTGCCTAGCCTCTGTAACTATTGCTTCTCTGCCCCCCACACACGTCCCCTCTATTAGTGTTGTAGCGGAAGTCCTTCATGAACATCATTTTCATGGCTGTATAATAATAACTATTAATAATATACTATTAGTCATTTAGCAGCTACAAATAACTCTGTACAACATCTCTGTTGCATACATTTCCAAATACTTTCTTTGGATCGATTCCCAGAAGCAGAACCATTGGGCCAAAGGGCATGAATGTTCCAAGACTCCGAGGTATAGGACAAGCTGATTTTTGAAAAGGCTCCACCAGTTTACACTTCCATCCATCAGAGGCAACTCTCTCACAGTCAAAGCAGATGACCTCTAGAGACTCGAATAGACCAGGGCCTCGTGTGACCAAACCACACCACCCAAGCATATTCCTGGCCTCCTGGGAGAAGGAATCACACATATCATCATCCAGCTTTATACACACACCCGTGATTATGGAAACCATACAGTATAAAGTTGGACCTGCTTTATATAGTGAGCAACTGTCAGTTGCAGAATTCTCTGGCTAGATGTCACGTACTAGCTTTGGGCAAATCAAACATTGTGTAAAATACACGAATGTGCAGAGGATCCCACTTCAGCGTATAAGTAATTAGAACAATCATTACTCCTGTTAATGTGCATCACTGTCATAGCCAGATGGATTCAGCCTCCAACCAATCCATAACAGCGTCTTCACGTACTGGCTGTATCACAGAGCCGTTTGTTTATACCAAGTAAAAGAATTCCACAACAAAACCATAGTGGGAGTTGATGTCACCTTATATGTAACAGAATTCATCTGCCTCCCCATGCCCTACCAAATCAGTTATGGTTAGTGACTACTAATAAAGTGATAAAAAAAATAAGGTTATATACATCATCCCCCCAAAATGCCCTCAGGTGAAGAAGATGTGGCTGCAGAAGAGAAATGAAATTAGACAATTCAAAAAGACAAAAAAGGGAAATGTTCGAAAGCAATAAATTGGCCCTAGCTACGAGTTTTCCCGAAGCCCATGTTTGCCCCATAGCCACCTCTGCCACCAGCACTGGGTCTCATAGTCCTGGAATAGAATCTTTGTTGTAAATTGAATAAGTATTAATTGAGTCCCTTCTGTGAAATCTATTTATTCAAGACTCTGCTCAGATCTTGAATCATCCTTCTGGAAAGCCCTTCCTGACTGCTCATCTGGGTTAGAGACCTCGCTCTGCTTCACCTATAGCACCTGTGCACACACTTACCTCACTATGGTGAGATCACTTCTCTGCATATCCCCTACTAAACTGTGAGCTCATTGAAGGTACAGCTCTCCCCATACCCACAGTACCTGAGATAGAACTTATGCACCATAGACAAATGTGATGGAGGAACAAATAAGAGAATTTTCCAGGTCCTGTACATAAGCGCTTTATGTGCATTTCTCTTTCCATGCATCTTTATTTACTCAGACTAGGCAGTCTCAGAAATGTACCAGGAAACTATCTAGAACTGTGCTATTTCCACATGGGACTATTTCCATTTTCATCTAATTCATTAAAATGAAATAAAACTTAAAATTCCATTCTCTAGTCACGTCAGTAACATTTGTAGTACTTAAATGCCACACACAGCTTCTGGCTACCTCATTAGAAAATGCACACATAGAACATTTCCATCGAGGCGGAAAGTTGATACCCACAATGCTGGTTTGGATTGTGAGCTTGGCAGAGGCAGGCAATGTGAATCTACCATATTCTCTGCAACCAGCACAGTACCTGGCCTGGAGGAGGATGGGAGCAGGGAAAAAGAAAGGCGAGGGATGCTGGAAGTACATGGAGCAATAATATTAGGTACGCTATTGATTGGCACCTACTTTGTGCTCTGCATTGTGCTATATTTTGTACGTGCATTGTCCCACTTGATCTTCACATCACGATGAGCCTGGCATTCACCCTGTTGTACAGACAGGAAAACTGAGTCTCGGAAAGGCTACGTTAAGTGCTCATGAAGCTAGTAGGAGAGGCCGAGTTTTAACTCAGAATCCTGTGTTTTCAGAGTCTGTTCTCTTAGGCCTTTTTCTTTACCGCCTCACTACATGTCATATGTAGTTATTATAGATGTGAACTGCCATCAGCTTGACTTCCCGGGGAGCCCAAGAAAGGGTATTTTTGAAGGCTTCCCAAGGGAAATAATTGGTATAATTTGCGAATGTTAATGGCATTTCAAGAGTGCAAATTTTTCCTGGGAGCCCAAGAGGCCTTGTCTCTGGATGAGTGACAAGGGAGAAAGGAACCTGCCCATAGTGTGGTCGGACCAGAGGGCCAAAACCAGCCACCACCACCCATGCTTCTCTTCAGGGAGGCCTGTCACCAGCTCTGAGGGAAATACTGGCTTGGCTAGGACCTCACAGCGGATTCATGGCACAACCCCGCTCCTGCCTCGCTAGCCAGGACCCTTTCCACTGCTCCACCCTCCCTCTAGGTTGTTGGCTTCAGTGTCTTCAGTATGATTATCCTTCTCGCTCCAGTTTTCCCTGTCTTTGTTCTTAAAGAATACAACACAAAATTTCAAGGGAGGCTTAATTAGTACCAGATAGAGATTATTACCTCCTTCATTTTACCTTCGTATTTCTGTTAAAACTCTGTAAGGCTGAATTGGGAATCTGTACCAGGCATACCTGTTGAGCTTCATACCAACTGAAAAAGAAAAACAAAACAAACAAAACAATTCTCT